AAAATTGTGCTTAACCACCAGAGGGCTCTGCATGAACTCAAAAACCAGCAGAGTTCTGACTATTAAAAGCCCATTCATTGAACTTCAGCGTCTGAGAAATAATGCTCCTGAAGAACTGCAGTCAGCTGTTAGCAAACAAAGCAAACATCTCTGAAGGCAGTGTTATCAATTGCTGACTGCAAACCATTAAACCAGTGCTCTGCACACTGGGAAAGAAAGCCCATCTCCAACAGAAGTGCTTTAAGGCTTATTTACAAAGCTCTGTCTCCAATAAGCATCAGACAAAACTTCTGATGAAGTTCAACATCTTCTGGGCTACCAGGAGCTGGCAGGTGCCAGGAACATTAAACTACCTTAAGCATTGCTTAAGAATGTATCTCAGCTAAGAAGCTTTACCAAGAGCTCACCAAAGCACTGCTCATTCCACAGCAGGGTTGAAGATCTCAATGGATAATATAAAATCAGTCCTACTAGAAGTGAGAGAGAGCAAAATGCAACTGCAGGACCCGCCACACTGTGGCTGTAACTTGAATGACTCTCTTCTCATCAAGAAGCAGAAGGTGAAAACACTTCAGGTGCCTCAAAGCAGGCAGAAGGGAGCACGTAACTTTTCCATGCAGTTTGAACACAGTTTTTTGTTTAGTATTCTTACTTGTGGTGTTGTTAGTGTTGTAGTGTTGCTCATGGTGTCCTCCATCTGCTGTGTCTGCACATCTAGTGTTTCAAACTGATGTTCAAATTTATCCATTAATGCAGATATCTACAAAAATACAAATCGAATCACTGAGCTGCAGATAACAGAAGAGCAGCACAACTCCTAGAACTTTTTATATATACCTCCACAAAAAGTTTCCATTTACCTTTTCCAGGTTCATGCTCTTCAGAGTGGCATCCATGGATTTCACCACCCCTGCCATCGACTTTGTTACCTGAAACGAGGTCAAGAATTCACCACAAGGAGGAAAAATGATGAGCTTCTTACTGAGCCCTCTCACTTCTATCCAGTTCCTACAGTACCAAATAGCAGGGCATATTTTACTGCCATCTAGAACATCCCTTTTTTTAGGGTCCTTCCATTGGAAATGTTACAAATCCATTCATTCACTAAAATATGGCATTAACTTCTGAGGGTCTCAAAACCTGTCAAAGGATAACGGATGTGTTTAGGTACACAGATCACAGGGCAGCACAAACTGAGCCTGAGCAGCAGCACAGCCACGTACCGTAAAAGATCACCTGAGCTAAAAGGGTAAGGCTGGAAAAGCCCTCTGAGGTCCCCAAGCACAGCCCACCCCACCACGCACAGTGACCACATTCCCCTGGGAATCTGACTCCTGGGATCAGAAGTCCACAAATGGCTGCATGTAATTGGGAAGGGACCTCCTTAGGAGCATGAATAACAGCAATTAACGAGTTACAAGCTACAATCATGGCAAAGAAACACCTATTACTAAGGAGCAAGTGCCAGCAGAGCTCCTTTAGACTCTGTGCAGACGTCATGCTGAGGGATGTGGCTCAGGGGAAGTCTTGGTGACAGCTGGACAGTTGGACTGGATGACCTCAGAGGTCTTTTCCAACCTTGGAGATCCTATGCCTCTACTGTATGATTCCAGCACCCGACTTATTAACTGACACATGTGAAACCAACCTTCCAGCTCATTACAGATGGAATTCAGTCCCTCCCAAGAGGATCAGAGGGGACTAATCCTTTCCAAGGATGCATTCAAACAGACTTACCTTGCCCATTGTCACTGCAGTCTGAACTCTTGCTGCCACAGCATCAACCCTGGCACTCATCCGCAGGAAATTAATGGCTTGGTTCTTCTGCCTGATGGCATTTTCTGCATGTATTCGTGCAACTTCCATGTTCCCCTTCTGGATGGCCTGTATGAGAGAAGAAAAAAAGCATTCCAACTCTCCTGGATCTTCATAAGCATGTTCTTCTAACAGCCTATTTTTTTATAAAAGCATCAATTGATCACATCAATATATTTTTATTATATATTTTTATGAATTAAAACAAAATGGATCTAAGACAATTTTCTTAGCAGCTAAATGCCACCAGTCCTTCATGAAGAACACATCCTCACACTTATTAATAAGCATAGGAAAACGTACAGTATGCAATTTAAGTCACAAGCATTTATCAGTGCTATAGCAGGCATGCCAGGAAACAGTAACAGATTCTGCTACACGATGTAACCAGACCTGAAGATGTTTCAGCCCCACTGCTCACCTTCTTAATCTTCGCTTTCTCAGCCTTTTCTTCTTTGTCGCATCTTTTTGAGTTCCTGTTGAGTTCCTTTGCAGCAAACTTCAAATTAAACAGGTGTTCTGCAGCACAAGTTAGGGGTCCATGAACAGGATCGATCCTTCCTCCTTACCATCCTGCTCTCCTGTTTAAGGTGCTACCAACCCCAGCACTGCTCTACTGACATTAAGAACAGACACTCATCCTATTGATCCTACTGGGCCATAGGAAAGCAGTTCAGATCCCAGCTGGCTCCACATAACAGCAAATCCGATTCAGACTGATACACAGAACAAAACAGACACCCCCCAAGAGAAATCAAAGGCTCACTGTGCTCCTTTCACTCACGCACACTGAGCCTCTGGCTCCCAGTGAAATGGAAGAGCACAGCAATGGAAGAGCAGCTTACTGGCCTGCCTGGATCCTCCTCAGCCACCCCAAAAAAGTGTTATGGAACAAAAGACAAATTTCCTGGATAACTGCAAGCTGGCTCTGCTGACCGCACCCAGGATAACACAGGAGGCAGAGCTGCCCTTCCCAGCCAAAGGATGATCTCAGGCTTAAACAGCAGCCTTTCCATCTTTGTGTCACATGAGCAGCAACAGTTCTGTCATCTGGACTTATTAACTATTAAGGGAGCTAAAACTACAATAAAATTGAATTTGCTGCTTGTATTTGCGTTCATTTCTTTAAAATCTGGGTCGCTGTTTCTTTCTGCAGCAATAAATGAGTCACAAACCAAACCATTTACCAAACCAGAAAACATACTGAAGTCCATTCAAGTATACGATGGGTCAGAGACCAGAATAACCAGGCAAAAGATGAGATCACCTGCTTACACTGACTTGCACACCTGCTTGCACTGAGAAGGAGCATTTCAGAATACCTTATTTTGAAGTAACTCCCCCAGTTACTCATCAGATACACATTTACCCTTGGCACTCTGCTACCTCCATGGCTCTTCCTCCTATGACGACACAGCCTCGCTCCTCCCTTGCAGCTGCACAACCTCATCGAAACCAAACTTCCACCACCAGTCATGAGGTGACTCACAGTCACTTGCTCCAAGCTCCACCCCTCTCCCTACCACAACAACCAGCAGCACGCTTCAGCTACACTGAGATCTTTGTCGTCTTTTAAGCCTTTTCTACTTCTCTGTATTATGATGATTGCATACAGCCAGAAAGCTCAACTTCACCCATAAGGGTTCTCCTCAGCTGTACTTTCTTTCTGACACCAGGAAACAAAGAGCAGTTTGTGCAGCTGACAGCAGTCAGGCTTCAGGAAACAAACACTTGAGGAGCAACGTGCCATCAGCACAGCAGCCACTGCCTGTCGCTTTGTGGGTTGCCAGTGTTTAGAACAATCTGCAGGGTCCTACAGCACAGCACAGAGAAAACTGGTTTTCTGCCTGAGTCACATAGATCAGGCCCCAGTGAAACCAGCCAGGCCCGAGCTCACCATCAGAACAAAATCAGCATTTCCCATTCTCCTTTAACAACCACCACAACCTCAGCTCCCACCATTAACCCCAAACCTTTTCCTCCCGATCAAGGCTTCAGGCAGCGACCTCCAGCCTCGGCCACACGCGGCCACCACACCGCCCACTCCTTCCCTCATACCTCCCCCGCGCCGAGGCCTCCCCCAGCCCAGCCCCACCGAGGCCTTCCGAGGGGACCGGCAGCCGCGGAGAGCAAAGCGCCACCGCACCCCGCCCACATATCCCCAGCCCGCCCCACAGAGCTGCTTGTCGATCCGAGGATACTCTCCATGTTAGACATGGCGGCCCAGCAGCGCTTCGGCCCGGCGCAGGGCAGGGCAGGAAGGCTTCGGCCGCTTTCGTTCCCTCTGCCGGTTCTGTGGCGGCTCCTTCTTCCGGTAGTTTCAACTTCCGGCAGCTATCTTCCGGTACCTTCCACTTCCGGTAGTTCCCATTTCCGGCAGCTCCCTCTTCCGCCTACTCCGACGGGAGCACCGAGGCGGAAGCGCGCATGCAGACTTCCGGTCTCCGGGGTCTCAGTCTCCTCTCCTTCAGACCCCGCCGCGGGGCGCCAGGCCCGGCCTGACTGCCTGCGGGCGGTGGGGTTTGGGCCCGGCAGTGGCCGTCAGTGTGCGACAGGGCCTAGAGGAGCGCCAGAACGTAGAAACGCAGGGCTCTGAGGCGTGCTCCTGCAGGCTGCAAGCACGGACTGAGCAACGTGAGCTTCTCCTGCAGTGCCTTAGAGCTTCTCTGCTTAAAGACAAATGAGAACGCTGGGTTCTACTTCATTATACCTAATGACTGCTCACCGTGTATCCAGAGCAGCTATAGGAACCTAGTTATACTTCACAGAAAGAGTTGTTAGCAGTCATTAAGGAAAAGATGCAAGGGATAATTACTTCTGAGAGCAGGAAGTCTGTTGAAATCATTCAGCATTTCATGTGTACATTTGCATGATAACTGTCATGGAAAGGCAGCTAGATCAGGACCCATGTCGGCATTTGTGTGTGTACCTGCACACCTCGCCCAGAGGACAGAAAGGTGCCAGAAGGTGAGTCCTGACCTCTTCAAGGACGTGCACAGCAAGGAGCCCCACACACAGATATGCCTTGGGGCAGATTGAAGAGCAGATGTCTGCTACAAGAGCAGAGAATATCCAGGCTCACAAAGGGCAGGGCCTCCAACCCTCTGTCTTACTTCTGGAGCACCGCCTTTCCTGTATCAGACAATGCAAGTCAGGTGAGGAAAAAGAAAGCAGCAAGGCTGAGATTGGAACATAAAAAATGTTTATTCCTTAAAAATACAACGTTCACTTGTAGTGACACAAATACTCAGATTTCTTTAAAAGGATTTCCAGTGTAGCAGTCTTTCAGTGTCAGGAGCAAGGTGAGCAGGTAGCTCCCCCCCAGCATGGGCAGCCTGGTCCCAATAGAAAGGTTTGTTCCACTTGTTTCTGCAGCCTGCACCACAATAAGATACATGCAGGTCCCTCACTCACTTCTACAACTCCAGGAGGTATCCACTACCAAAGCTCTGTCTGATGACAGCGTGGATTCCTTTTCGTTTGGTTTTTTGATTGTTAAAGCATTTCAGAGTCTATCTTACTAATTTTCTGCAGAGGGCTGAGTGTCTGATGTTTACTGAGAACATGAGGAACAGCCCTTGGGAAGCTGCAGTCTGTGCTGCTTCTCACACTTTGTGAAGATCAGTCTCAAAAACAAAGCAGGTGGAGAAATTTGATGGTAAACAATCAGTAAAAATACAGGTCTGATGTAGGCCTTTTGCTCCACCCAGATCAGTAGAAAATTAAATATCCCTCCCACAAAAAGTTTGTTTAGACTGATTTTGCAATGCACACCCCAGAGGTACTGCTATAATCACACTCCTGGTGACACTGCCTTCACCTTAGCTTAACAGTTAAACCTTCAGTAGAGAAAAGAGCATGAAAAAGAACTGATTGTTAGGCTCAATTAAATCTTCTGCTTAAACATATTTACTTTTTTAGCATATAAAGGTCTAAAAAAAATGCCTTTTTTTTTTTTCCTTTTGGTGGTTCTAGAAACCAGAAAACTATTGTCTGAGTGGATAGTCTATATGTTTCTATCAGTAAAAAGAAGGTACAGTGATAACCAGAGATTTGGGCACACGAAACAGATACAACATTGGCAAAACACTGGGTCTACATGCTGTGCTTGAAAATATCAGACATGAACTTTGTACACAAAATGTATCAAACAGCACTTTGCCTGTTAACAAAATAACTCAAAGAAGCTCCAGCACCTGAAGTTTCTCCTAGTGCTAATCTGGACTTAAAATTTCACTTACATTATTATCCCATGCGTGCAAGATAATCATCAGAAACAGAGGTAAGAGGCATCCCAAATTTTCTTGACGCACACATCCTGCTGTTGCTTTCAGTGTTAAGTCAGTTCAGCTGAAGTTCAAGTCATTTTCAAGCCATCAAAGCCACAAAACTTCCATTTTTTCTCCAAACTGGCCCCAACCCCACTCAGCTCCTGTTTAAATGTTGTCTGTAGTCTGGTCATGAGAACTTCCACTTCTGTGGTGCAAATCTGTGAAAAGGAAAGGGAAATTTCACTAAAACACAAGACGCTGTTGGTTACAGAAGCCTCTAACGACTGCATGCATTCAAACATGTTTAATTGGTGTTTAATCAGGAAATGAGGGTATTAGTGCACCTACTTTGCTGTCCAGGCGCTGCAGGTAGGAACAAATATACTCTATGCTTGCTCCAAATGGGTGCACGTGAAGAAATGTTGAAATTATTCCTGGGGAAAGGAAAGCCACAAATGTCATTTTCATGAGAACCATCAGCTGAGAACACCAGCTCTCTGCCATTGCTGGCACTGCACACAGGGATCTTATTTGGCATTTCTGGTTTTAAATTCAGTGAAGTTCGGTCTGTGGACTGCAAAGTAAACGACAGCTAAGTGATGCAGGAGAGATCTCACCACTCTCACTCCCTGCCAAGTAATGGTAACGTGCTCCATGTCAAACCTCACCAGAATTCAGCAGGGAGCTACTATAAATGTGGGGATGCAAGGCTAAAGGAGAGGAAAGCAGAACTCTGCTCCAGCTGTGCCAGGTCAAGGAGCAGGAAAAGACAGAGGTCAATGGGCAGAGCAGCAGAGGGCCGTGTGTTGTAGGCTGCAGGACTCCCACCTCTACAGGCACAACTCAAGAAACAAAAGGCAGCCCCTAGCAGCTGAGAGGCCGCTCCGAAGGAACTCCCACCACTTCAGTCTCTAACATCATCACTAATCAAAAGGCCTCACCAACTAAGAGAGCTTCTCGTTCTGATTTCACAGGGCTATTGCTCAGCGTCTTCTCAACTGGACACTCCTTCTCCTGGCTGCATGCACAAACTCTGGGCATACTGCTCTCCTGCAGAAAAAAAACACACAGGCCTGTTCCACACACCGACAGCACAGGAAGCACACTTACACACCAAGCAGCAGCTCAGTAAGACCTGACTTTGTATTCTTCTTTTCCTTATGAGCCATCATATTGCTTTATTTATCTCTCTATTGCAAAAGGCATCCAACACATCAGAATGATGTTCATGCTGCTATCAGAACCTGCATGTCTGAATAACCAAGCTAGACTGAAGTTAATGATGTTAAATAAAACACCACAACATGCACTTTCATCATCCTTGGTCACTCACACGACATCTGCCCTGGAAGACCAAAACTAGACTAGACAGAAAGCCTTGCAGCAACTAATTCAGATGCACATGTACATTTTTTAGATGCATAAACAGTGGCAGCATGATGAAACAAGTGCCTCCTGCCTGCAGAGGGCTTGGGATCAGAACCCTCCTTGACGTGAATTCACAGAACTGAATTAAAACGTAAATTCACATAATTTATTATCCTCAAAATAAGTTGCTACGGATAACTTGAAGTTCTTAACTTGTAAACTGATAGACAGGCCATTATGTACCACGTCTGTATGCTTTGCAGCAGTCAATTGCTCATTGTACAATGAGATACCACTACTTCCCTCAATAAAATGCTGACTAAAGCAGCAGAAGACTTTACTTACATTCCCCTGGCCATCAGTAACATCTCTCTCTTTGTCCTCTTCATTTGCTACGCTTTGCTATGTGTAAGAAAAGGAAAGGTTACTGATGTTAGTGTGTTATTTTTGTTCTTTAATATCCATCAAAGCTCCCACACTGGAGATCTCTGGTATTCAAGCTCTATTTTAATTACTAAAAAGCTAAGTATTTATCACCTTCCCTAGAGCAAGGCACAAAATGGTGGAGTTAATGATACAAAGTCAGGGAAGGAAAGGTCCAAAGGCACTTGCTTTACAGTCCTCCCTGAGAAGTGCTCTGCAATACTTCTCATCTATCCTGTAGGTACACATAAAATTGAGTCTGCTATGGAGGAGAGGACCAAGCAAGCCTAGATTCACATGCAAACCCACAAACAAAACACAGCCTTGTATTTATCCAGTTGCTTCTGATGGTTGCCTCACTGTTACATGAAGCAATCAGGAAGTTCACTTATGCAACCTCCAATTAATCAGGTAATTTTCTCTACCTTTCAAAAGGCCACTTCTCCTAAGCAAGGCTAGGCATCTTCTACACCCTCTCCTTCCTTGCACATGCTACAGGCCATGAAGTGCAAGAACTGCATTTACTATTGAAGAATAAGGATCAAGAAGTCCCATACCTGCTCCTTAAGGGTTTCTAATAACGTTTCGATTTTTAGTTTGTCTTCTTTCACTTTTTCCAGCTCAGCTTCTCTCTTTTTGTATTCATCTTGAACTTTCAAAAGATGCTGGAAGAGAAAAGTTAAACAGTTCAGAGCTCTTTCAGCATGGTTTCTTATCCTGGCAGTGGCACATAGAGAAACTTTCACTCCCTGACATCTGCAAAAAGGAAAATATGTTGTCTGGCAATTCCTGCCATTTCCTTACACACAAATAGCTGAAGGTGATTAGGGAAGGCTCCTCCAGCCACCTCTGATGTTACAAATAGCAATGCAGTTAGTGCCTACCTCAGATTCCTTCAGTGAACCACAGCCTCCACAGCAGGTTCTAATGTTAATGAAGTGCATAGCTGGACTATCGTGTACTCTATATGCTTTGGTTATCAGTCTGGTTTAAGACATGAAGGGATAAGACTGTTAAGACTTACAAGGAACCTAAACACTTGATATTTGGCCTAAGGAAATCCCAAAGAGCAATACATGATCTACAAATCCATGTGAGAATGAAAGCCCAGTAAACGTCAGAAAAGGCTGCAGAGCAAGTTGGGATTTCCCACCTTTTTGCTCATGGCAGCAATCAGGATCTCACAGGGCTTCGAGGGAAGGTCAGCACACTCACTATTCCAGGAGTCACAGCCAACATCACACAAGGAATTCGTAATGTATGATTAACAGAACACCTCTGCTTGTGCCTGTGCCCTGCACCACAGCCCCCTTGTCTTTGTAAGCAAGGCCACAGCCAGATGGAAGCCCAGGCCCACCTGCTGCATTCCCTGCAGAGCCTGCTGGAGAAGTTTCAGCTGCTGCTCTTTGGTTGTGTCTTCATCCCTGCTGGCTTTGCCGTGCTCCTGCTTTAGGAGCTCTACTTCATTCCGGTAGGCATCCAGCTGCCAGCGCAGACTGTCATTTTCTTCTTTCAGGGCTTCCACCTGTGACACAAGTGCTGGAAAACAAGGCAGGCAGTGGTCAAAAATCAGAGCTGGGGATGAGCTGGCTCTCACACTTCTGAGACTGCCAAGTCTCAGTTACAAATCCACAGTACTAAAGAGAGTTTCTTGCAACCACTCTTCAGAAAAACACACTGCTGAGGACAAAGAACATCTCCTTAGGGGAAAAGCAGTATTTAACTTGGGGGAAAAAAAGGAAAAGGCAAAAGAATGTGTTGGAGTAAAACGACAACGTAGGCAAGGAAGTAGGTTTCCTGACCAGAAAAGCTGAAAGACTCTGGACAGGCTCTACTGCCACCCTCAGCCACAAGATGATCCCCATCAAGCCATGGGATGAAACAGCTCCATCAGCCTGGTGTTGATAACTTTAGGAATGGGGTTATATGACATTAGCACTGCAAAGATAGCTTCAGCAGGTTTCAAAGCATACCACCATGTGGAGTACATGCTCTGCCACCTGCCCTTGCTGGTTTCCTCTGCTACCTGGGCCATGGTTACAGCCTGCTCAGGCACTTATGCAGCACTTGGACACTGCCCTTGGAAGGCTCAGAAAAGGCTACAGAATTAGGAGAGGTGAGGAAAGGTTGGGGGGTGTGGATAATGTAGGATATATTTTAATATCAATACATAACTCCAACAACTGTTAACTTGCTGTTTCACCCTAATTCAGCAGGAGATGACGAGTAACAATCAGTGACAAGGATTTTGAGAATTATAATCACATTTAAAAACTTGTGCAGAAGGAATTATTGAGCTGGCAGGAGCTCAATGGAGCCACAGTAAACGATTACAAAATAACAACTGGTTGGAGAAGCAGTCTTCTTCTCTCTCTCTGTCTCATAATGTAACCTTCAGATGCAAAAGGAAGAGTGTCACGTACGTATGTTCTGTACCTATGATTGCAGGATTTGCTGCAGCAGGATATCTACCAGCAAATTCAAAAAGACACCAGGAGCTTGGAAGAAAGGAAGAGACAAGGTAGAGCAGCTGACAGCAACAGAAATAGCTATAAAAACCACTGCTTAAATAACCAATACCCCTTGATGTTGTGCTTGCCTGTAAAAAGGTTTCCTACAGCTTCCTCTTAAGTCCTGGTACAGTGCTATGAACTTCTTACTGTCCATCAGAGTTTGTATGAATGCACAAAAGTTTAGCAAGACTAACAGAAGGCAAAGCAAGTATTAGAGACTGCATGCTGTTAAACCTCAGCAGCAGAAAACTGCTATTGATTTTGCCCTCAACAGTCAGATCTGAGCGGGGCTCCCAAAACAAACCACTGCAAAAAGAAGTTTACCTGATTCATCCGTTTCTTTCATTTCTGATGGATCTTCTATTTCTTCATCAGACATTTCCATTTCCTCCTCTCTTCGAATGCCCATTAGTTCGTCATTATGAATGTTACGAATCTCCTAAGGTTCAGAAACCAGATGTTTTTTAAATGCAGATTATAAGGGACAGACTGTATGGATGAAGAGATGCAGAAGTCTTAAGTCTGCAAAACACAGCTCCATCATACAGGAAAAGGGAAACGATAGAAATTTTTGGCACAGTCTACTCAGTCAAGAACATCATCTACCGTGAGCCAATCTATCAGCACGACCGGCATTTCTGACTCTTCTATCTTCCCTCTAAGCCATGCTCTCCTTTGCCTCAGGGAAAATGAGCATACTCTCAGCCTGGATGATACCTTGGGAACAAGGGGGAAAGGACAAGAATACAGCAAACCTGAGCAGGAGGGAACAGGGCTGGTTTCAGTTCCAAAACAACTGCTGCCTGCCCTGGAGACCACACATAAAATGGAAGCTGGATTGAAGATCACAGAGAAACGTTCCTACTGTTTTTAACTAATTCTGCCCAACAGCTAAAATCTAAAAGCTGGCCCAGAAGCTGAAAGAGCCTGCAGACAGCACAGCACACAGTGAGGCCAAGGCTGCACAGCAGGATGTACCAAGGCTGCTCTGTGGCTGAAGGGGAGCCATGGATGGGGAAACAAAAGCATCAGAGAGGAGAAAAACTTAAGTAAGGCCCTTCCAAAGCAAGGAAAGAAGCTGGCTGGTAGTTATAGCAGTATGGTGTTCCACCAAGTCTCAAGCTGCAATGGTTTCTTCATGAGCTGCCCTCAGCTGCAAGACCCACCTGCACTGTCTGGCAAAACCACCTTAAATCACCACTGACAGAGCAGCAGAGACCCTGACCCAGCCCAATGATTCCCAATACACACCCATTCCCCAAGCTGCCCTCCAAGTTCTCCTCGATTTCCTGCAAGCTTTTCTTGAATTCCAACAAAAACTGTAGCAAGATGTTGGGGGGCCATCTTCCTTTCAGAAACAATCCTGAGAAAGGAATGCATGCTGAGCCCAGCAGCATTCCTGGAAGATGCCTCATAACAGGTCTTGCTGCCTCTTCCCACTGCGAGAACTTACCTTGGAAAAACAGACCACTCCAAATGGAGAGCGCGTTCCCACCCCAACCGTGGTAAGTAATCTCAGGCAAGCAGAAAAGAAAACAGCAGCACTAGGGCTCAAAGCAGAGGCGTAACCTGAATCAAGACTCTCCACTTGGCTTTTTGGGTATAAGAACAAACATTAGCTTCTCCATTGTAGCTGCTAAGAAAGGACTAACAGTGGGATTTGCAAAGAAAGCCCCAGAAGTGCAATGTCATGCGGGGTTCTCAGCTGTGAACTTCCCAGAACAGTCATTCAGAGTTTAACAGAGTTGTGGAGGATCACTCCTCTGCTTTTTACCAAAAGAGCATTCACTGAATATTATCAAGCTCTGCAAACACTCCCATTTTTCTCAGGTTGCAGCTATGCTGAAAGGTGGCCTGCATACAGCCAACCCCACAGACAAATGGCTTTTGGGTAAACAGTTACCACCAACTTGTTCACTTTGCCCAGATTTACAGATGACTTTTAGCTTTGTTGGAGCAGATTTCTTTGTAATAAGGAACACAATACATAAGGAAAACACAGAATCACAGGAAGGCTTGGGCTGGAACCAATACTTGCTAAGGTCTTTAAGTTCACTCTGGCTCTCTTTGATGTGCTCCCTGCAAATCGGGCTGCCAAGGGCCTTACTCAGAACTCAAAGATGGAGATTCCCCTGTCACCTTGGGTTCTTCTGCAGGGCTGAACTGCTTTTCAGGAACAGAATTCGAGGCTTAAACTCAAATGGAACTTCCCTTGTCGTGACATGTGACCATTGCTGCTCACCCTCATGCTGTGTGATTATCAGAAGAGACCATTTCTGCCTCCTTGTGACCCCCTGCTTTAAATAGCAGAAAGCTGCTAGTGGGGACCCTTTCAGCCTTCCCTTTCCCAACCTACACAAGCTCAGTTCCCTTACAATCCCAGCAGACATCTACTAGATGTTTGAGTCACGCACTTCCTTTCAACCCCCCCCATTCTCTCCTGCACCACCTTTAAATCCTTATTTCCCCTCTTAGCAACATCAATGCATGAAATAAATGTACAAATATGAGAATGTCTTCCCTCAAATCTTTCAGACTGTCCAGCTGCAATTATTTCCATCTCTCAAGTCGATCAGTAGAAATGCAACAAAACAGATGTCAGTGGTAATCCTCATCTTCTTTCCCTTAATATCCCTCTAGAAATACCTCTTGCTTTAACATTAAAAACAGATCAATATCCAGCTTCAATCAGCATACAGATCTGAACGTATTGCTACTAGTAACACAAATGCTAACAGCAAATTCATTACCTGGAACAAGAGACGACCGAGTAATTCCCATCTTACACTGTGAATTAAGATGTTGTTATCCACGTGAGCATCGTGCAAACTTAAAATCAATATCCTGACAAGAAAGAGACTGGCTGGAGGATCTAGCACAATAAAAAATTACCAACCTCTGCTTGTTTGCACCACACGCTGATGTTCTTACGCTGAGCTTTCGTGAAATGGTCCCAAGCCTTTTGTTTGGAGGCAGAATGGTACACGGCCACTATTTGCTCGACTGTAGTATCAAATCAGCAGACAAATCAGGCCAGAATATCATCCAGAGAGGGCGAACAAGAGGAGTAAAGGAGTAAAAGAGTGGAATCAGGCAGGTGTTTGGCTAACCTTTCGTTATAACACTGTACTGTGCTGAAGCCATGCTCAGGACTCTGTGCCTGGAAAGGAAAGCGGGTACTTGACCAGGCCAGCAGCACAGAGTCATGTCAGCTTGGAAAACTGCATCTGCACTCAGCGGGAAGAAAGGAAGGCACACGTTGCACTGACAAAAACATTCCATGTGCAACACCATTTATCAGTGCAATGGCTACACCTGCACCTGGACACCTGGACAGCACTTGCTCTCTAACATGTGCTCTCACGACTTGTGAAAGCTGGCACTCTGCATGCTCTGAGGCCCAGTGGGTACAGTCCCAAAGAACAGCGCAGCTGCGTCCTACACATCCAGCAGCAACTTCTTTTTTCTTCCTTGGACTTATTCTAAAATATTTTCCTAGAAAATTTGCAGAGGTTTTTGTAAATAAGAAGCGCCTCCCCTGGGAGGAGATTTCAACCAACAGCACAAGGTCCACCTAGCTGTTTTTTCCCCACACCTGTGGTGCTGTAGGTATAACTCTTAGGAAATGAAATCATTTCTCTGCTCCTTAGATTAACTAATAAATCTAGACGTGCCTGAGATACCACTAGGTGTTTTATAGAGGTGACTTGCATGCAGTTGACTATTACTACTTACTCTGCAGTGCACACTGCTTTTTCTTCTGGACCGTTTGCCCATATTTTTTGATAGAATAAAATATATACAAATCAAATACTAGACAATTAAATTAATGAATATAAAGCCAAAGTTAAGAATGTTCACATCCTAGCCAAGAGGTACAAGGAGGCTTAGTAAAGCTATGGAAAAAAGAACTCTTAAAAAATATTTCAGACTTAGTAACTAAGAAGAGATGTGTAATAGGCTACAGATGGGTTGAGGACTGCTATAAATCACACTCTAGAACTAACAGAGCCAACAGCTCTTCCTTGATTTAACAAAGTACTGGGACTCAGGTTCAAAATTCTGTTCTGCAATAGGTTTTCATCATAACTTCAGCTGTGACTGACAACAGGGTATTGGGAGCACTCTAATGCATCCTACCTTTGATGAATAAATCCTGCACATTTCGCTGAGCCATCAGATTACCAGGAACTTACCTTGTCTGTACACAGAAGTGCAGTGTTGAAAAGATTATAAAATTACTAATAGACTATAATTAAAAGAGGAAAAAAAAACAACACATTAGGAATTCATCTGTCCTCCCCTCAGATGTGGACTCTGACTTTAATAAAAGGCACCACAAGAAACTTTTGCCAAGTTAATGACATATGCTTATAAATTAACTGTAGCTGCATAGAAGCCATTGTCATTTATGGCCCTGGTGAGTTTTTAGCATGATCTTACCAGACTCTAGAAATTAAGCATCCTCTCTACAACAACAGGTAGCAAACACTCAGTGCAGAAATACTACTCACACTGAACCAGAATCCCTGAGAGAGCAAGCTTGAACTTCTCTTTAGCTTCTTCCATCTCCTTCTCATGTGCTGCCTTCTCGTTCACCAATCTGCGAATGTGGCTGTTGGCCGACTGAATCATGGAGTAGAAGTTGTTTGCAGTCCTCCTGTTCACTTCTCCACGCTCTATCCAGGTGAGCAAGGTCTGCACAGCTTCTGAGAACTTAGTGTCATCTGCAGCAAGAAATGGTATCTTTCAATCACGGAAGCACAAGTTTGCCTGTGCAGCTTTCAGATCCTTTTCCTGCTGCCACTGACCTGCCCTCTCTCAAAGGTCAGCTTGCTCACATTGGCTGCCCTGGGTTCATGAAAGCACAGCACTACCCAAGCACAAGACTACACAAAGGAGTCCAAACCTAATTCATAGAATCACAAGGATGGAAACGAGCTGACAGAAAGCTGTAGAGGCACCATAAGAAAGAGAGGAATCAATTGCTGGAAATGTATGAGATAACTTTATATGCCTATTTAGATGTACTCTTTCGTGACAGCAAATATCCTCTGGCTGAAAGAATCAGGCCACAGATGGGGTTTAGGCTTCGGAAAAAAGCCTTAGAATCCTAGAATGGCCTGGGTTGAAAAGGACCACAATGGTCATCTGGTTCCAACCCCCTGCTGTGTGCAGGTCACCAACCAGCAGCCCAGGCTGCCCAGAGCCACGTCCAGCCTGGCCTTGAATGCCTGCAGGGCTGGGGCATCCACAGCCTCCTTGGGCAACCTGTTCCAGTGCCTCACCACCCTGGATTCAGGATTTAAACTCGTCACTTAAACACAAACAAAAATGGGTTGGAAGAAACCAAATTCAGGTGTACGTTTGTTTTTATGAGACGACCCTGTGCAGACAGGCAGCTGCAGGCCACAGAACCACTGACCTTTCAGCTTCTCCGCAACAATGCTGCACTCGTGGTCAGAGTAATGCACAACAGGAGGTGGGGAGGGCGGGTGGAAGCGTTCCTCCTCCAGCCTCCTGCGATGGCGCTCCTCCCTTGCCAGCATGCGCTGCTTGCACTCCCACTCATAGAGGTCATCCCGAGCCTGGGCAAAATCCACGTGCAGGCGCCCGGTGTCCTTCTTGTCAGTGCTGGAACCCAACCTGATGCGATAGCCTGGTGGTGATGACAACAAATGTTCACATAGGATCGGTGATCTACACGGGTACAACCTCCCTCTGCCTCTGCCTGTCTGTGACTCCCACAAAGATAGCAAGACCTTGAACAGAAGAGCTGATAGTTTGTAAGGGTCTACAGTACCCAAGGTAACGAAGCGTTGCTCTCTTTCCTATCAGGAGCAGCTTTTAGATATTGTAGCAGACAAGCATAAAGAGCAGAGAAAGAACAAACTGACACCACGTGAGACAAATGGCTATCAAGCCTATCATCGTAATCACACAGAAGTCCTTACACCCACAGCCCAGAATTTTAAGCTTCCATCTCAGACAGAAATATACCTACCAGAAAGATACAGTGCCTTGTCCACCATGAATTCCTCAGCGAAGCGGATGTGACAGAAGTTCTTCTTACTCTTCCGAATAGCTATGACTTCTCCACACTGCTCAAACACTTCCATAATGATCTGCTCGGTTCCATTTTCCGGCAGCCCCCCGACAAACACGGTCTTACAGCCTGGGGGCCTCTCTCTTGTTGCTGGGGGGGGCAGATCTGAAGATAGCAGAACAAAAACAGATCAGGTCTGTCAGCACAATTTCCATGCATCTGCCCAGCTGCACTGACAGATGTCCTGGTTTCCTTCAAATGCATGAGTTAGCCCCAGTATATTTGACTTGACTGACAAACAGTTGTGCCAAGCATTGCTGAGGTGCCATACAACAAACACGTTTACTAGCTTGCTTCCAAACTGAACATCCAGGGTTGAGTCAATTTCCTGCACAGTAGCTGATTTGGTGCAGCGTTCTGGCTTTCAGATGAAAACAATGTTGATAACAGAGATGTTTTAGTGGTTGTTGAATAGTGCTTGCACAAAGACTTTTCAGCTTCCTATGGTGGCCTGCCAGCAGGGAGGCTGGAGGTACATGAGGAAAAAGCATAATGCAATGGCTGATGGATCTGGCCAGTCACTAAAGGGGTTCCACATGACTCTTTTCTCTGATGTACACATTTTTATGTATGTACTTTTCTATATAGACAGAAAAATTCATAGATAGAAAGGGGACAAAAATATAAACAGACGTTACGTGGGTTAGGTGGGAAAAGAGTGCAGCTCTTGCAGTGAATGATCTCCTTCACAGCAGGCATGTCTGGAGGGATGGGAGGAGGGACTATGCCCAAGCCTGGCATCATGGGATTGATTGGAGGGATTCCAGTCATCATTCCAAGAGCAGGATCAAAATCTAAATGGGGGAGAGAACAAGGGAATCAGTTTTGGACTCGTACAGTAATTGTTCATTTGGACAGCAAGTAAAGTACTGCATCTACAAACACCAGTGAAAATTACCTGAGTAAACAAGAGAGAGGGGACATGACCACTTACCTCAGCAGAACTTCACATCTGTTCCCTTGGAATAACGTTTAAGAAATTGTCAACTGCCTCAGAAAAATACATTTCCTCTGTTCACATTAACTGCTCCCCTTTCCATTCCACACGTACCCTCTCCAATCTAGCACCAGAACCTTTCCCAGTAAATTACTCAAATGAAGTGTAGGAACGTCAGTTAAGAAAGTTCTAGAAGAATTCTGGGTAAAATGTACAGCAGTGCTTAAGGAGACACTTTCCCATTAAGTGCAACCTACAGTGGCAACACACATCCTGCGTTGCTCAACTTGTTCCTAAGCTTTATTCAGATATAGTCAGAAGACTAAACAAGAAGTATGCTATTCTGCTTTTTGCTTCGATTTACCACCCACACCAACTACAGCTAAAAAGAATTGTCAAACATGAGGTGTTTCATCTGCTCAGAAGCTGTGAACCTTGGGCAAATCAATACTTTCAGGCAACCAAAATGGAAAATGTATACTGAAACAAATGGCTTCCAAAGAAAACTCCTGAGCTGATAACATCAGCAGCCAAGGACACCCAGCACCACCAGGGCCAGCTGCTACTAGCAGCTTAAGATCCCAGCTGCAAACCACCTTCTCTACTGCCTCCCACCATTCCTCTCCCTGTAGCAGAAGCTCTGAAGACACAGGAGCTCCCCAAAGCACCGAAGGACCCTGTCCCTGAATGTGCAGTTTTGAGCGCTGCAGAACTGGCTGAAGCTGGCTGCTTTTTACAGATGTAAGCAGATAAGATTAATTTTGCAGGGCACAGATGAAAATTGCCAGCAGGCAGAGCAGAGTGGTGCAGAGATAGCATTTTCCTTTGATCTTGAGCTGGCACCATTTCAATGCTATTCATATCGCTAGGCAGAGAAACGATTCTGTATTCTTCACTTTGCAAACACTAAAACCAGCTCCTGCTTGGCTCCGCAGAGATCTGGGAGCAAGACAACTCTGAGTGCACAAACAGGATGTCTCAGTTTGGTAGCTGAGCTTTATTTTCCTTTGTAATTTGAACATTATGTCCAGGGCTACATTTTTACACACTTTACCTACAATGCTCTGCTTGCAAGTGTTGCTGTTCGCTTTACGCCACACATGAATGGTGCCAACAGACCCAAAGCAAAAGCTCCACCATGAAACAGACTTCAGAGAAAGGGAAAGTCCTGCTACCCCACCCTAGATCCCTGCTGAACATCAAGAGGAAGGTGACCTTGTGAACGGCTGTGACTTTCAATGGTCGCGCTCACTGAAGACAGAAGGCAGGAGGAAAAAATAAAAAGACCTGTTTCTGAGCAAGTGAGTTCCTGATCCGAGCTGAAACAACAGCATCACCACTGAAAGGAAACTGCAGTTCAACAAGCTGGAAGGAAGAGGAACGACCAATGCTCTCACTGTGGGGACAAGGGGGGATATGGAGCAACAGCGACCTGCTGGAAAAATGCAGCAACTGTTGAAATGCCCACGTGTTAGAATGTAAAGATCTGCTCACCTTCTCAGCACAATTTGGCAAAGGTACATCTATGAGATCAAGATTATTTCAGCACTCACTGGCAGAAAACACAGACAGCTGGGAAAAACAGGAGCTGGAAAAATCAGAGGGATGAGAAATCCAGGATGGGTATTTCTCTGATTCAGGCTTCAAAAGAAAGCATGAATCGATACAATTAGCAGAAGCAAAAGAACTAGCAGAGAAGATGAATGTAGTTACATTATAATGAAAGGTAAAAGGTGTACATACAGGGGGAAACGGATCCCAGGGTCTTTGGATTTGTGGTGAATCTCACATTTTACTGCTCCAACAGCAATAGACTGGACCACTCTCCATCTCGCCTAGGGCTCTCTTCCTGTTAATAAGCTTATCTCCTGGCTACAGGCCAGCATCTGAGAGGCTTGGGATGCTAATTCAGAAAAGCCAGTCTCCATTAGCAAGAAGGAGAAAAGAGAAAAAGAAAAAGAAGTCCTCAAGGATTCTAAGAGGTTCAAAAACATCAGGCCTGGCAGCTGCTGTTTGCTGTTTGTGAGAACTTTTATATAAAACTAGTATTACCTGGATGGCGTGAAAGATGATGTGTATTCATTTTAGACATTGTAGTCTTGTCAAAGCATCTCACAACTACATGCTTTACTTCATCTGTAGAAACAGAACGAGGCTAGTAAGTTCTCAAGCATTTTCAAACAATTTTTTAACATGACCTGAAACTTTAGTCTCACCTGACACTGAGCAAAGATGGTCCAACTCATTCCAATCTTCCATTACCTCTCCTCTTTCATTGGTACTACAAATATGTCTGGTCTGAACTTCACCATCATGCTTTACAACAGATCCACATTCACCAGAGCATTCTGCTCGCTTGCACTCGGGTCTCAAAAAAACACTGTGCTCCTTCTAAACCATTCTGAGTCATCTGTCCTGGGAGCAGAACTCCTGATCTCAAAGTCCAATCTTAGAAGGATCAGAACAAAAATTACTTGGAAGCTTAAAGTCTCCCCTGCTCTTACAGCAGGGAATCAGAAAGCAACTTCAAACTTGCGTGCTCTCCCAGGACAGACTTCTGCTGACTTTTATTTGACACATATACATGAGTAGGAGAAAAATGCATGAAAGCATCTCTTACAGCAAAGACAAATGTGAAACAAGGCCTAGGGAACAGAAGAGTACAGACTGCATGCAAAATTTATATCCAGTGATGCTATTAGCTAAACACAGGCTCAGCTGCACAGCAAACTACCTGCACTGTGCCACCAGAGGAGTAATAGGACTGTAGAGTGCCACCAACGCAGGCACTCTCTCCTTAGGTATGAAGGCAGTTACTCAGAAATGGGACAGCATCCTTCTCAAGTGCTCAATTGTAGCAGAGGACTGAAACAGTAATTTCAACTCAGGATTTTGATTCACAGGCCCACCACACTGCAGTGAAACCACGTATAGCACATCTCTGCTGCCACATAGGAGCTCTTTAACATACCCTGGGCACAGGTTGACTCACCTCTGAGCAGTACTCCACACTACCAGGTGGCCATTTCTTAAGCAAAATCCTCCATTATCTTCTGCCAAATCCCTTTTACTGCCTTATTGCTTTCCTCATCATTTCCCTCCCACCCTTCAGTCTATGCAGTTTTAGTTCAGCTTAGAATAATGCTTTACTTGGTATCACTGGCTTCCTGAGCTCTGTAGACATGTCTCACGTGAAACACTTCCACTGCGGGTCTGCTGCAGTTACCTACAGGTACAACCCACCTTCCCACTACCCCAGTAGCCATTGTTTGCATCCATAAACATGTATTTCTTCTCAACCCAGTTTCAAAAACTCAGCAGCCTCTAGATATATTGCTCACTGACATCAACACATGAACGCAGCTTATAGCGCCGCATACAAAAACCCCATTAATCCAACTCAGCTGGCACAGGTTCTTCCCAAAGACACGTTGGAAAGAAAAGGTGGGCACAGTCTGGATAAAGTCTCACACCTGGCAGGAGGGGCTGTCCTGTCATCCCCATGGGAGCCATCCCCAGGTTGTTCATCGCAGTGGCCCAGGCAGTTGGGTCTGACATTGGCAAGCCCATTGAAATGGAGTCTAGGCTTAGATTTCTGCCACCATCTGCTGAGAGGAAAAAAAAAGGTGATTAAGAGCTCAGTGCACACCTTCATTGCTCTGTAGGACAAACGTTGCTCAGCAAGGCTCTGCTGTTTCAGCATACAAAAGCAGATTTGACCCCACCGCACAGGAAAGGCCTGTCTGAAAAAAGCAGCCTCCCTGTCAAGCAGAAGACATTTCAGGGATGCAAGGTGTATGAAAGCACTGACTTCCAAGAGCACTTAAAATGTTTTTTCCATTACAATGCACAGCTCTAAGGGACCCTGAGGGAACACTGATTAAAGATAAGAATTTATGAAGAAGGAACAAATATTCTGCGTGTATAAACCTCCACAAATGCACTGGAATCAGAGACGACCAGTCTGCTTATGCAGAGAATATTTCCACTGCCACCTGAAGCCATTTCTTCCATGCTGAACAGGGAAATGAAGCAAAGAATAATTACACATTTCTGAACACCCCCAGCTCCCTTGATCTTATTCGGAGGAGAGATGCTGCAGCCTCTGATCATCCTCGTGCCCTCCTCTGCACCTCCTCCAACAGCTCCACATCCTTCTCATGCTGGGGACCCCAGGCCTAAGGCAGCACTGCAGGTGAGGTCTCACAAGGGCACTTTCTAGCACTGACACCTCAGCACAGCAGTTGGCTTTGGTCTACACTTACACAGAGACCTTCTCTTTTGCCAGATATCAAGCTGCTACATGGCTTACCTGGAGGAACGTTTGTTCTCTTCCTCTTCTTGCCTGGATCACTCCCATTCTCAGTTGGGCTTTCCGACACACATGCACCACTCAGGCTGCCAAACTGCAAAGATTTGCTGTTGCTGGCAGGATCAAAGGACAGATGGTTTAAGCCTGAAATACAAAAATAGATTCAGATACTTTATAACAGTTTGCAATGCCTCAATATCACCATCACGAAAACAACGTCCTGTCCCACGTGCTGCTGGTATCCTTCAGACCCCCGAAGCAGCTATGCCTTCTGTCTGTCATCCCCAGTACACCCCACTCACTGCTATACCCACATCAATTTAAAATGTTATCTACAAACATTATTCTCACCATCCTTCCCTGGACCCACAAAAATCAAGCTGCACGATGCTATAAAGCAGGGGTGCACCTCTCCTGCACTGCACTGTATTTCCCAGTTCAGAAACTTGGAAGCCAGAAATTCGTTCTGTTTCTTCCAACCCATAATAGACATTTAGCTTTGCCTGGTTTGTCACCAGTAGTGACTTCACCTGGGCTCATTTACTAGCAAAAACATGAGGCGTGCCTCGCTTGCAATTGCTAATGCTATTTTTAATCAAGGAGGCTGGCAAGCAGTTGAGCCCTCCTGTAGCCAAGGAAGAGAGCTCAGCAATCCATTCCCTCAGGAAGGAAAGCTGGCAGATCTTGCTGGGGATCTGCAAGAGAGACAGGGAAACGGAGCAAAGAGGAGACAGATCCTTCAACAGCCAGCCATCATTCACAGGAAGAAAAGCTAATTTTGCACGTTTGAACCAAAGCTGACCGAAGAAAAATTGCTTTGCAGCTTCCAGCGTGTTTCTGACTTCAAGGCATTACATCCATTTAAGAGTCAGTCTGTGCTGTCACCTGTGGTGATCCACAAACCACGGCCAGCTCTGCCTCTTGTACGTGCCCCCATCAATCCTGCCTCTTTTACTTGGCCTTTCTCTCAAAACGAGGGGTGGTAACAAGAAAAAGGGCCTCTAAACAACTCCACGTTACCAGAGGCTTCAAACATTCAGCACTTTGAACATAAGCTTCAAGCACAAAAGCAATGATAAGTTTTGGAGATGTACACTGCCCTCGACTGAGCTCTGAGTTCACGGTTCCATCTCCTGTTGCATTCAGCACTTGTAGGGATCCAGAACTGAAGAGACACTAAAATATTCTGTGTTCTTCTCTGTCTCAGCAAACTCTGAATTCAAGTCAATACAAAAAAAAAAAGAGAAAAAAGCCCAGGACCAACGAGAAGTGATAAAAATAGCTGCATTCCTGCTAAGGTGCACATATGTTCTGGGGAAGCAGCACAGCTCCAGAAGCAGCCAAGCTGACAGCGATGCTGCCTCCCAGCACCGAGGGGCTGAAACACAGCAGCCATTTCATTTACACCAAACCTTCCCCAGGCACGCTGCAAGCCACAGCCAGCACTGTGAGATCTATTCTAGAGGATTCCACTTCCCAGAACTTGCTAATAAATACGGTTGCTGTGTACAGCTGTAAATAGACAAGAGAGTGGAAGCAGGGAGCCTGAGGGAGCTCTCATCTCAGCTGCTGAAAGGTGAGAAGAGCAGAAGCAGCCAAAAAGCTGAGTGCTGTTCAGCTGGCAATAACAATAGTTGCACCCAGCTATGCAAGGTGCCTACTGCACTGCTTTTTCAATGCTCCAAAGTCAAAATATCACTGCGGCTGGGAGGGGTCAGGAAAACGAATCACAAATGCAGTAGGTTAAAAATAGAGAGCCGTGCATAGTAAAGAAACAGCGAGAGAGTAAAGGAGTGCTCAAGAGGCTTCTGGATGAGTGCTGTGAGGTATGGATAGCAGCTCAGCGGGTAGAAATAATGATGGGAGGACGGTTGGACTGGATGAGCTTGTAGGTCCTTTCCAACCTTGTGATTCCATGTGATTGTAATAATTATAAACTTTATTCTCAAGTATTAAACTTCAAAGCACGTTTTCTCACACTTGGGTCCAGCAGAGCACGCTGACCGCAGGCAGATGCTGCCCGTGTTGGGCCTGGCACAGGGATGGACAGCCAGCACTGCCTGCAGGAGCATCACACCACACCAGCACAGGGGTGAATGCTCCTCACCCACACCACTGCCTTCTACCCCACCGGAGAGCAAAGGCAGCTACTCAGTGCAATTATTTCCATCACCGCTGTTGGAAAAGACAAGATCCTTGACAGGCCAAACGCTGAGCTGTGTGGAAGGCAAAGGATGCTCTTGCAGCACTGCCAGGCAGCTCCTGTTGTGCCCAACCAGCCTGACAGAGCAGCACAGAGCAGGAGGGAGCAGCCCTGCAGCCATGCCAGCCAGACAGACACTCGCTGGAACTCCCTGAGGTCTGATTCAGCTTGCTCCCCTGGCAGCCACAAACACAGCTCTGAGGAGCAGATCATTTTCTGCTAGGATCCACGTATCTGAGTTGCACACAGAAGGCTCCGTTGCTAATGTGACACACAGGAAGGAGCAGAAAATGATCTACAGATGCTCTCAAGTTGTCAGCACGACCACAAAAACTAAAGCACTGCATAACTGCAAACCAGCAGGCAACTTGCTGTGTAGCAGCTGTGAGCCTGCAATGCCCCTCCTGCTTCCAGCAGGCAGATTAACAAGAAAAAAGCTATAAAAGGAGAAAAGACTGTGGTAATGGAGTCATTATCGTTTCTCTTCTTGCCTTGCATCACGCAGGAGCAGAGGTGGGGTGGCTGCTTCAGTTCCAAGTAAAACACTCTTGAATGAGTACAGACCACTACTGCTGATTCAACAAGCAGACAGTGCTGTGCCCAAGAGCTCCCAGTCTCATCAAGATAATTAGCAGCAGCAGCCTAAGTCTGCAGCACGGTCTTCCAGAGATTATAGGCAGCATGGAAGAGATGGAGAAAGGAAATTCCCTCTCATGCCAGGCAGAAAACACCGGGTGCCACCCAAGAAGTTGATTTTTTCAAATAAGAACAACAGCAGGAAAGTGAAGAGCCAGCTCCTCATTTGGACCTCTGTCTAATCAAAGCAGCTGCATGTTTCCAGCCTGGAGAAGAAAGGGTTTGGGAGGGGATCTTATTAATGTGCATAAATATCTGAAGTCAGGATGCTAAGATGATGGAACCAGGCTCTTTCAGCAGTGCACGGTGCCAGGACAATGGGTCCCTTCCAACTTGGGATATTCCACAGCTCCACGATTCTGTGAGATGACTGCCAGCACAGGTCCTCCTCCCACAGCAGCCCTGAGAACAGCAGGCTGCTCCAGGCAGTCGTCAGCCCTGGACTCTGCTGGGTTCTGCCTGCTCTGACTGAGACACGTGGCAGCCTCCTGCTGCCCCCAGCAGCTCCACCAATGCACAGACCTGCCCATCGCTCCGGGTCCAAGCTGATGCTAAATATGGGATTAGGAAGGGCCTGAATACAGAATGTTCCAGGCATAAATCAAGGCAAGTATCTATCCACGCTGGGTCCCATGCCAGGCCCTTGACAAGACTTCGTTTTCCAGCCACTGACTCCCACTAACTTGGCCATCTGTCTTAATGACTAGCAAAACGTATGTGTATATATCTATAGCAGAGAGGCTCAACTCCAGTTTAACTGCAAAGCATTGCTTCACAGATCATTCTTTTTACTGACAGCAGAAAACATCGACAACAATTCTCCCCAAGAAACAAAGTGGCACAGCTCACCCTGCAAGGCTCTACCACTGCATTACTCAAGGCAGCACCCCAACAGGGCGGCTTCACTTCAGGACTTCTGCAAAATCCTTCCCTGCTGCCTTTGTCCCATCAAACACCACCAGCTCTGCCCACAAACCCAGCACTGCCTGGGGCACACAGAGCTGCTCACCCCAGCACGTGCTCTAGCAGCAGCAGCCTTGTGCTCATCAGGCTCTCAAACATCTTTCTTGATATCCAACCGATAACAAGAAGGAGCTGCGCAAATCCATCCCCTGTAACTCAAATCGCAAAGTAGTAACAGGTACCCTGACACCTCCACATGCCTACAAGCATTTCAAGCACATGCTTAGGAAGCCCACGGAGTTTACACCTGCTCACCAAGCTTCTCACTTACTCAGCATCCAGAAGGGAGAACTCAAGAAATGGGCTGACGCAGGCTTTGCTATAAATATGGATCTGCCTTTTGCCAACACTGGCCAATATGTGAAATACGTATTTCTCAACCTGAACAGTGGTCTTTTTCCTTAAACAGAAATAAACAGGATTGCAGAATATAAGACTCCCATCTGGTTACACACCACTTGTTCTGATGCCTAAAGGAATGCACTTTAAAAGAAAACAAAGTACCTAACATCTGCAGCAATCAATTAGAAAACACAGAAACGATAACAGCAGGGAAGGGAAAGGAGAGAAGAAAAGCACAGAAGCTTCAAAGTCACACATCCAAACCAAGCATTTGCTTTCTGGATCTGGTTCCCAGGCTTCACACCTATCTCTGGGATTGTGCACTGCTTTCTACTCTACTCCTGGCTTCACTGTCACAGTCAGAGCTCTACAATCATCAGCTGTCAGCACACCATTGGTACAGGAACTGCCTAAGCACACTGCAGAGATCAGCAAGCATCCAAGAGTTACTTCTATCAGCTCCATATAATCCTACATTCGAACAACTCTCATCCAGACAGCGTGAGAGAAGCACACGGAACGCACTGTACCTGCATACTGCACCAGGAACATGGCAAGGTGCTCATAGTACTTCAGTAGTTCAGCCAGTTTTCCTGCCACTGCCTGCCTGCCTGCAAGGTGCAGCTCCCTGCCCAGCGCCCACGCAGCACTCCTGGGCTCAGCAGAACACAAACCAAAGTGGCAATGCAAGCAGAACCACTGCTGTGCTTCCCCACATGGGCAGCGCCAACGGAGGCAGCGAGAGCTCAAGTTGGGGCGACGGTTCACAGAGTGCAGCTGCATGTGTCACCATCAGTCTGCTGTGAGTGACACCCACGGGCCCATTCCTGGATGTGGGGGAAGGAGATGAAGGAGCAGGTGGTAAACCCATTAGCAGTAAGTAAATCTGAATTTGTGAGGGATTTCATACATCAACGCGCTAAGCACAGGAGGGCAGTTAAATAAACCCTACTTGCGTGCCTGAAACTGGTTGCCTTTGCATAGGAAGATTAAGCTCTGGTAATCCTTGAAGAGGCACGCAGCTCAATTTGTGATTCTGGAAACTTACAGTGAAAAGAAATATCAACTCCAGACAAGGTAATTACTGCAGCAGGGTGCTGGAAAAGAAGAAGAGGTGTGAAGAGTCTTTGGCTGCAGTGCTCACTGTAGCAAAGCATTGCCTGCAGTGTTTTCAAGGAAAGGCATTCACAAACCACTGCCAACACAGCAAGAAAAGCACAGGGCTGATCAAGCAGGATATGAGTTGGGTTCTAAATGAACAAAAAGGAAAATATGACATACTGGTGTACGCAAGCAGGCACGTATGGCCACACACACCCAGCCGATCCAGTCTTTGATTCCCTGTGGAAGGCCCTCATGAGGCTGATGTGCCCCAACCACTGTGATAAACAACCAGAACTACCAGCACTGAGTGTTGAGAGGATGCTCACTGCCAAACTCACACTTTCAGAACACAAAATGCTTCACGTCTACAGATGAATTCCAGCACATGGGACCTGTCACCAGAGCCCAGTGCAGACACTGAGCTGAGGGCTGAGTGCTGCTCTGCAGGTGAGGGCGCTGAAGAAAGGCATGGGCAGCTCACAGCTGGGGGACACCCACAGCATCAGTGAGAGGAGCAGGACTGCAAAGTGCCAACAGAGAGCGGAGCAGCCAGGAGCTGTGGGGAGGTGCTGCTCTGGGATCCAGGAGCTGGCAGTGGAGGAATGACAGCAGAAAACCCGGGGATTAGGCGAGAAATCTCACACCATCTCTGGAAGGGATTCAGAATGCCTCTGTAGCAACACCTTTGAAATTGCTTGGAAATCGAACCTCATCTCTTCCACGGGCTGAAGTCACTGATACTAAGAACATGACCTTAAAGCGAGAAACCTGACCTTACGGTGGCTTAGAGGGAGCTTTCAACAACTTAACGCAGAGGGCTTTCTAACTAGATCTTATTAAGTCCCCCAAACGTAAGGTGAAAAAACAGACACAACAGCTTCTCAGCTTCCAGGTGGGGAAGGAGCGACGAGCCCAGGAAGGGAAACACCACCAAAAGCGTTTGTGTGCATCCCGAGCCGAGCAGCTCTCGCGTGTAACAGCCGGGCCTCGCACGGGACGGGGCTACAATAACGGCGGCATCAATGAGTTTAACGCCCGAAGAACCGCGGGCGGCCGCGCACAGCTGGGCACGGGCCGCACAGAGCCTGCGGGCCGCAGCACGGGAACGGAGAGCTGCCGCCGGCGGTCCCGCGGGAGCGGGCAGGGCCGGAAGCGCCGCCCTCCGCCGGCACAGCGCGACCGGAACCGCCGCCGAGGCGCCCCGCTACGGCCGCTCCTCCCGGTACCGGAACTGCCGCTGACCCAGAAAGGCGGCCCGGAAGCTTCCCGCGCCTCGGGCCCCGCTGCGCCGACAGACGCCGGCTCCTCGCAGCTCCCGCACACGCGGCGCGGGCTCAGGTGGAAACGCCGAGCGCTGACCGCCCGCCCCGCACCGCCCGGCACTCACCGCCCAGCCCCGCTCCGCGCCCGGCCGCGCCGCGCCCGCTCTCCACGAACATCCGCGTCCAGCGTCCCCGCTTAGCGCCCCCCTGCGACGCCACCCATTGGCTGCCGTGGCGCTGGGGGCGGGGCCTAGCGCGCACTGCATGCCGGGAGAGCGGCGCTGGGGGCGGGGCGGGGCGCGTCCCAACCCGGCTGCAGCTCACAGCCGCCCCCTGCGGACCCGCGGCCGCTCGGCTCTTTTCTTGCCGGCGGGGCCGGGTGCGGGGCGGCGCAGCCCCCGAAACGCCGAGGAGGGCGACCCTCCCCCAATCCCCCCGTGATTCGGAACAGCGAGCAGACCGGCAGCGATGCGATTTATTGAGCAAAGAGAGGAAGCGCTCTTTATCTCAGAGCCGCGGGAGGAGGAGCGAATCGGGGACGCGGACGGACGGAACCCGCTGCAGTGCGGGTCGGTGCTCCGCCTCCCGCTCGGTACAAAAGCGTGTCATCGTCTCCCGTCAGTCCGTCCCCCCGCGCACAAGGAGACGCCATCCCTGCCGCAGATGGCAACGCGGCCCCGCGCCCGGGCACCAACCCTGCCCGCAGCCGTGGGCAGCAGGACCGCAGCAGACGCGAGGAGCAGGAGGCCCGCTTGTCTCCGTTCCCAATGGGCGCTCGCAGGCGTGTTGGAGGAGGCAGAGGACGGCTTCAGCGTTGGCAGATACTCAGCAAGGATGGGTCGGCTTTGCAAAGCAACAGCTGGTGGAGCCCACGCCGTGCCAAGCGCGGACAGCAGCCACGTCACGCTGACACACGATGTGCTGATCCCCACAACTGAGTCAGAGCGGAGCCACCTACCAGACCCACCTGCGAGGTATCAGTTCAACCCACGGAGCCCATCTGTTCTGTGTGAGCCTTATCTCAGGCTCTTTCCTTCATGCACAGGATCTGTTGTGTGGTGTTTGCTCTCGCAGGCATAGAGATGGGTGCCACAAGCTGCCTGCTGCTCTTGTTCTGGTCTTAGTAGGGTGCTTTTATTTTCATCTGTTCCTCTGAGATGATGATGATGAGGATGGCCTGAGGACCGAGGCAGGTTCTGCATGTGTATGGGATCAAGCCTTGAACCTTCATCTCTACCAGCAGGGCAGGTGACAGAAGAGGAACCAACTACTGTTTGCATAAAGCATCCCCAGTTTTCAGATGGAAGCAAGTCCCTAGCTCTGTAGCCTGTTTTAAAGGGAAATGTTCCTGCTGTGTGGATTTTACAAATCATTACAATTTTACAAAAAGCAATTAGATAACATCACAGCCTCTGGCAGGATCAGCAGTCTGTCCATCACTGCTGTGTGGCACGAGGTGCACCGAGTGCTGCGTGCTCCCATCTGCAGAGTCAGTGTAGAGGCATCCTTATCACCCCATAAACAGCCCTATGGCATCGGTGGGACAAAGCAGCTCTTCCACACAAGGTTTTCCCTGTCTCCAAGGCAGTCCTTCCAGCTCAGCACTGAGTCAGTCACTCATTAACTTGCTTTACAGCTCAAACCAAACAGTAACAACACAAACCGGTGCTGCTCTGCACCTCTCCCAGGCACACCACACCTGTTCAGCTTTTGCTCCAGTGCACATAAGCCAAAGAACAGCCACCCCCTCCTCCCTGCATTAGAGCAGAGACCCCAGACCTAGACTCCTCACCTCTGCCTCTAAGATCCTAATCAGAGGATGGTTTGAGGGATAGCCCAGATTGCATGTGTTGGATTGCAGTTTGGTTTAGGTAAGGCAGTGATAGGGAGTGACAGAGCCAACACAGTGATAGCAGCCCTGCCCCACGTGCTGGTGGGGAAACTGGCCCAGACAGCTGTGCTGCAAGGCAGAAGGGACAGCAGAAGGCTCTCTGGTCTGGGCTGGGGACAGCCAGGTGAAAAGTGAGTGATCTCAGTCTGTGGAAGGCTTGGTCCCACCAGACACTAAGCTGCTCTTGCTGAAGCTCTCCAAGCAAAATTCAACATGTGCCACGCACCTGCAATTTGGGGTGCCCTGGAGCTGGTGCAGAACTGGCTGTGCTGGTTGTGCTGTGTCTAAGCACGCAGAGCCGTCCTACCCCATACAGGATCTGTTCCACAGCTGGCAGCCCCCAGGTTCACAGTCCTGGTGAAGGAGACAAGCTGGAAAGAAAGCCAACAGTAGTCACTCCTGGAGCTACAAGCACGACACAGCGGGAATGGACTCGGTCCCTCTGCTGGGGAAACAGCAACCCTTCCCCAAATGAAGGACTTTCCTCTTCACATCAGCAGCCAGCTGGGAGAGCTGCCGCCGCACGTCCTTCTGCCGGTAGGAGTAGAGCAAGGGGTTCAGGAGGGAGTTGCACAGTCCCAACAGCCAGAGGTAGCTCTCAATGACTCTGTAATGGAAGCACTTGGTACACGCAATTTGCACGATGCCAGCGATGAAAAATGGCAGCCAGGACAGCACAAAGCAGCCGACCAGCATGGCCACGGTGCGCATGGCCTTCATGTCACTGGTGCTGCCCCTGGCCAGCCCCACACGTTCCGCTTCCCGGATTTGTTGCACGTGCACAGAGGCAATTTTCAACATGTCACAGTAGAGGTAAACGAAGAGAAACAGGACTGGAAAGAAACCCATGCAGGAGATAATGAGAATGTAGCTGAGTTGGAAGACTCTGAAGAAGGAGCATTTTTCGTCGAAGGAGATCTTCCGAAAGCCTGGGATAAGGAGTGGGAGAAAGCCAACGATACCAGCAAGCAGCCAGAGCACCACCAAGTGCAGCGCTACCCGCGTGCCCGTGACCAGCTGGTGATAGCGGAAAGGCTTTCTGATTGCCAGGTGCCTGTAACACGCGACCAGGGTCAGGGACAGGATAGAAGCAGCAGAAGAGGATGTCACAAAAGCCATTTGCAGGACACAGAAGGTCTGCTTGGGATGAACGTGCTCAAAGAACTCCCCTCTGACCAGACCTACAACCGACAAACCAACCATGGCATCTGCAGCAGCAAGATTAAGGACAAAATAGTGTCCCTTGTAGCCGGTCTTCCAGATAAGGCGAAGGAGGGCAATGGCCACCAGCACATTGGCGGCGATGATGAGCGGAGCCAGCACAGCAAGGATGATTCCCACAGCCAAGCGAGCCATGTCTGGCAAACACAACCCAAAGATGGTATGTCCACAGCACGACCCTGGAGCACTCCTCACCTGGGGCTTCTCAGTAGGCACAGCTCAGTAAGCAGGCAATGGGCGGCTGTGAGCGCAGCACCTCGCTCTCCAGGTGGTGCCTCAGGCTGCGGAGCAGAGTTCTGCTGTGCCAGAAGGGACCGATGCACTCACAGCACCCGCTGTGCCCACGGAGGTCCCTCCCCTCGTGCCACGTTTCCAGACAACCCGAGAGCAGGAGGGTGAGCTCAGAGCCCTCAACAGGAAGGCAGTGTGAGGCTGGGCTGACGCCACTCTCCTCCCTAACAGCCCACTCCTGCTCCCCCGGCTCCCCCGGCTCTCTGCCCCACCAGCAGGGCAGCAGCCCCCTGCACAGGGTGTTTCAGCATCTTCCATTCCAGGGCAGCCCATGCTGCTGTCGGCCTCTCCATCATCTCTCCTAGTGCAACCACGAGACCTGCTTGGGCGCTGTGGTCCATTTCAGCAACAGGATCACGCCCTGATCACCCCTCCTTGTCCAGTGGTAGTGCTGTGGTGGCAGGCAGGGAGCTGAGCAGCCCAGCCAAGCACTAAGGACCACAGGTACAGATAAAGGAGAAAAGCCCACCAAGATGTACAGGTGGTACAGCTCATGAGGCTTCTGCAGCGTCACTGCCAGAACTGCAGCAGCCTCGTCCCATAGGGACCAAAGAAATACCACTGAGCCCTTTAAATAAAGCTGCCTCTCCGGGACCAAGAAGCAGAAAAACCAGAGCTGCCAGGAAACAGGGAAGGCTTCGGCCTTCCTCAGTCAAATAGCAACCAAGGTGAGCGGGCTGCTCGGGAGAGGCTGAGCACAACCAAGGTCAGGGTACAGCTGAGAAGGCAGCCAAAGGCAGAGCATGGCACAGGGCAGGATGTAAGTGCCGAGGGTGGAAAGAAGAGCCTCCCCCCAGCACTTCACATCAGAAAAAAACAAAGCCAAAAACCCATAAGAGGCCACAGATCCACTTCATGCATTTCTGAGGAGCTGCTTGTAGAGCTTTGCTCCTGAAGAACAAAGATGGGACAGCAATGGCTGTCAGCAAGGAAATTACGACCACCAGCACAGCTGCACAGAAGGCTCTGCTCCAGAACTCAAGTTACAGAAACGTGAAGGAAGCCAAACGAATGTGTAGAATTGCTGTTAACATTCTTCTCTCCAATGGATTCACACTGAGCCATCACATCTCTATGTCTTTGAATATTCAGAATGCTTTTCAAGAGTAAGGCAAGCTGAAGCATGCAAACATCGTTTGCTTTCAATCCTCTGCTCCCAGCCCCTGGTAGCTTGCAGTTTACCTCTGGAACTGACCCTCCAGCCTTGTAGGATCACCTCCATTCATGGCATTATTCAAATCCACGAGTCCACAGGCCTCACCTTCCTCATGCATTCAACCAGGTCCCTACAGAACCACCCAAATCAGCCTCTCTCCTTTGTTTGGCTGAACATCCCTTGTGCAATCTGCACAGAGGTCACTTTGCAGCAGTCTCAAGCAGGAAGCATTGCTGCACATCACATGGAACCTTCATCCAGACCAAAGCTCTCCCACAGAGGAGGAAGGAAGGAAGGAGGGATAAAAGCTACTTTTATGGCACCATCATTTCCTGACTATCCAGCTGTCTTTTAGAAATGCATTCATGGCAATGAAGTTTGAAGACTATGAAGAAAAAATAATGTATTTAGGGGGGAAAAAAAGGATATATGTTTTTGTTTCCAAGGACAGACACAGCATCTGCTCTGAAAAAATATGCCTATGCTAAGTCTGCACAAACACGAACTCATGCCATCCAGTCAATAAATAATTTAATGAGGTTACAGGTTGCAGGAAAACATGACAGCACCCCTGTCCAGCTTCCAGCCTCACCCCACAGGTATGGCAGAACAAAGTACGTGAGTCAAACAAACCACAGCTGCATCAAAAGGCCACTGGAATGCACAGATCTTCACAGAAGATATTGCTTCAGGCCCAGACACTCGTGCACAGTGAACACTCACCTCTGTGTGGAACAAAGCATGCAGTACCTGCCATCAGCCTCCCAGTTACACTTCAGTCAGAACCAACCTTCAGGGACCATGAATGTGGGGGAGGAGGAGAATCCAGACCCACACGTAACAAAACATCAAAACGTGGGGATGGTGAAATGAAGGCTGCAGCAGAACACTGCTGTGAGCCTTGAAGATGACACTCGTGGAATGAAGCTAGCTCTCAGAATGGAAGTCGCTTCAGTTGCTCATATGTGATAAAAAACTGAAGGGAAAGTCAAGGAATTAGGCCAAATACATCCAGCAGCTGCACTGCACCTCCCTCATAACCAGGCCAAACCCCACAAGGCAAGGCAGGCAGATCAGCATAGTATAGCTGAAAACCAACAGGGGAATCCCCTCTTCCAGGCAGCATAAAGTGATTTGTTTGTACAGATGGAAGAGAGCTGTGGAAGGAGGCTACCAGGAGAGGGAAGAAACTGACCCAAAAATCAAGGTGGCCAAGGCTTGCCTGGACCACTAGGAAAGGGAAATAACTCCAATGGGGTTTTTCTAAGCAGGAACTTCCTTAAAACAAATTCTATACACCACGTCAGAGGGAATGAAGAAACCAGTACAGCAACACAGCTGTGACTGAGCTGCAGAGCAGGTCAGCACCTGTCTCAGGAGAAGAATATTCCCCAGGCTTCCCTCCTAAAGCAGGAGCCAATCTTGAAGCTGCTGCGACTGCAGCAGCTCAGGCTCAATGGAAAGCTTAAAGCCACGCACTCGAAAGCACTTTACAGGAAAATGCCTGTGCTGCTGCACTGCAAGTCCCTGCATAAACCACCACAGAGCTGTCAGAAGGAGCAGCCACAGCCAGTGGTGCTTTTTGGCACTCAGAGCACCTGCAGTCAATGTCTGTCCAAGCCTAACAGGGGATCTGCTCTGAACTTCCATTTACAGCTCAGTCTTCCCCTGCTTGCCCACACTCATCACCTCCCAGCAGCATACTGAAGGATACAATGATGTTCCAGGGACCAAGCCGAAGCCAGTTGGGCCAGAAACCTTTATAGAGTGCAAAGAACCCTTCACTCTTCCATGTCTGGGGGGAAAGAAGAGACAGATCAGTTATCAGACTCAACTTAGGATCAGTCACAGACTCTGTAGAGCCAAGGAGGAGCTCTGCTGTGAGGACACCACCACGCTCTGGGCTCGGCCATTCAGCCAGTTTTCAACACACCTCACTGTCTGCTCACCCAGCCCACGTTTTAACAGCAGCCAGCCTCCTAAAAACAGTTTTTTGCCCACCTGTGTCACCTCCTTACCTTCACAAGACCATCCAGAGTGCCCTTGTAGAGCTCCACACTGCCCACTATCGCTCGCTGGTTCATCATCCGTGTCCGCACCACATCCACAGGGTTGGAGGCAATTGCTCCTGCCAGCCCACATGTAAAACTGGACCTAGATGTACCAGAACATTAGAGAGAAATAGCTCTGAGCTCAGACAGGCCTGGACACAAGCACAAGAGTACTTTTCAATTCCACATTTGCATTTAGCAATAAACATTAGCTGTCCTGTCTGCTCCCACCCAGAACCAATAGCAGACTGAGACTCAGAGAGCTAAGGAAGCAAAATGCTCAGCTCCATCTGATGAAGATCCTGCCAGAGCCCACTGCCAGGTCTCCACAGGGCTGTCTGCAGTCCAGCAAATGCTGACAGGGTGACACAGACCTGAAGGCAGGCTCTTGGAAATGCACATCCTTCTCCCCAGAGCAAACATTTCTTCGTGGCAGGGAAGGAGGAAGACCAAAGGCAGCCATAGGGAGCATGCAGCTGCTAGTCTCCTCCCTGCACACATGGTCTAGTGCTTGTCACCTTCAGCCCACAGCAGGCAAACCCAACAGAAGCACTGAATACCTCCAGCTAAAGTGTCTGCTAAAAGAATAATAGGAAAATGTAGGTGAAGAAAGACTTTGGGAAGTTTCTAATCCACTCCCTGTTCAGAGCAGGGCTGACTTCAAAACTAGGTCAGATTGCTCAGTGTATTCTTCCAGTCAGTTTTGCAACTGTTTGTTTCATAAAACTCTGATAGTGGCTGCAATCTGACATCTTCTGTAGAGGAGAACCTCGGACTGGAGCAGCTCTTTCAACCTACTGCTACCATTCATCACACCTAGAATCCTGCCAGGTTCACACCGTGGCAGCAAAACGGAGCAATGGCATTTCTGGTAACCAGGGAACTGAATTCAAGCTTTTATTTCACTTCACCACAAGGATTTCTGCCACGTTCCTTCTCCAGGGAGGTCTCTCTAGGGATACCTTCTGGGCACCCATAGCTGCTCCAGTCAACACAGCAGATCCCTCAGAAGCACTGAGCTTGTTCTTGGCAGCTCCAGAGCTCTTGCTCTATAAACAGGTCTCCAAATCCCACCTTGCTTCTCTGCCTCACACACTGCCAAGCCTGGAGAGTGCAGCAACCGCAGCAAATACTCACACAAAGTGGGTAAAGATTGTATCACCCATCAGGCCTGACAGAATCAAGTGCTTCTTGGTGATGTCGTAGACTGGCAGTTCCACCCCAACCACAATGGCAGCTCTCTGGGCTGTTGGAACAACGCCCTGCAGAACACAAACATCAGTCACAAGCACGAACTGCTGCCTTGAGACCCACAGCTGGCATAACCTCCTCTCTTGTCTTTCTCTTGATAGGACACCTGGTACCCTCATCATCCCATCTTGCAGCTGAAGTTTGAGGTAGAACTTGTTCCCTGTCTCCCACTGTAACTCCAAAGCCAGGGAGGACTCCTCCATCCTCCTCCCTAGCAGTTTTACTACAGCCAGATTGATCGGATGCTGCTTCTCTCTAGCCCACAAAGGAATAAGGCTATAATTCACTTTTCCTCACCAGCACACTGAAATTTCAACACCAGAAAAGATCCCGTACCACAAAAGTCCCAATCTACCTGCCCAGACCTACATACTGCTCTGCCCAGGAACAGCTTCAGCCCTGGAACCAGGTCTGACTGGCCCAGTGCTGACACTGCCAAAGCACAGACCCAATCTCCATATAGACATGCTTCCGTTTGCCTGCTAACGAGGAGAAGGACTTCACTGCCTCCCCTGGCTCACAGTTCTCCTCAAGAGCTGCACTTGGGCTCAGAGAAGGAGCAGCAAACAAGTTGAGGAAGCTTTTAATTCTGATGCCAGTGGAGGTGAGGGGTTTCCAGCAGTGGTGCTCACCCTCCAGAGGCCTCGGGTGCCCTCTTGCTGGTAGATGTCGATGAAGCTGCCTATCATGCCACCCTGGAACAAACTGCCTTGAGCTTGCATTCGAATCTGAAAGAAATGTGCAAGTCAGGGGCACAGCATCAGCAGGTGATGAGCTCAATGGATTTCCTGGCACAGAGGAACAAGAGAGCAACTCCCATTCATAACAAGCCCAAATGAGCAGAACTAATGTCAGCAGTGGCTTAGAGAGCACCTCACTGCAGCTGGGAGAGATGCAGCAGGAGCATGTGGCAAACTGCACTGGGCTCCCTGGACACACACACCTCTTACCTTCAGCACATCTGTCGGATTGGCAAGGGCAGAGGAGATCACCCCTGAAACCACTCCACAGATTACATTGATTAGCAACGTTTCATCTGCAATCGAGAAAAGAAAGTCAGGTCCTAAAGGTCTGAAGAGAAGGCGCTGCCCTGAGCAAGCAGCTCTGGAAAGAACACAAAAGCTAAATTCACAAATCACATGGTGAAGCTGCAGAAGCAGAAACTGGCCATTCACCACCAGCTGACAGCAGACCTATCTGCAGCTGCCAGAGACAAAAAGCAGAGGCTGAAACAGCAACACGCTGTCAGAGAGAAGCAGGTCTGACTGCCAATTCTAGCTGATCAGACAAATAAAGGGCTGCTACACAGGAAAGTGCTAAACAATCATCTGAGATCTCAGCACCCAGAGATGCGTTTCTCATAATGGATAATGGCAAGATGGAGGGGCAACTAAACACTTCTCAAGGCAATCTGACATCAATTAGTTTTAATTTGGAGCCCCAGCTGGCCACACTCAGAATATGCAGCCTCCCTGAAAAATAGAGAGTAGATGATCCAGGCAGAGAAAGTTAGAGGCAATTAGTTCCAGAGAAGGAAAAAAATCCAAGATTTCCAGGTCCAGTATTAGATTGATGGTTATATTGGAAAAAGGCCCTTTGCTGGTACTGACCACAGCACTTCCCAGAGGAGACCAGGCCACGTGCTGCCCCAGGCCTGTAGGGAGACAAACATTCAAACAACAGTACTCACAACTGGAAATGCTGCAACAAGTGAGGTGGGCAGCCCAGAGCACAAGCACAGAACCATCCGCAGGGAGAGGCGTCACTCAAGAAGAGAGCAGCCCCTGGAAAACAGGCCTAGTGCATTGCACACCTGGTCCTCTCGCTGGTGTGAACCTCACACCTCACTTTCCCAGGCTGAACATCATAAAGTATTCACTCATGATGGGACAGGATACAGAACTGCACGTGCAGCTCCTCCAGTAAAGAAATCTTCAACTTTGGCTGCTCTGCTATCGTACAAGTAAGAGCAACAACAGAGGTTCCTGTCACCAGAGTCAAGAGCACACACTGTTTCTTATCTCTTTAATCACTGCAAAAGCTCATGAATTGGACAACTTCCTAACCAGAGCTGCTGTGTTCCAGCAGAAGGACTTCAAGAGGACAACAGGAAAGGCTTCCTAGTGAAGGTTACAACCCAAGTAACACAGAGCAGTGCAGGGAGCACAGCTGGGATATCATAGAATCCTAGAATGGCCTGGGTTGAAAAGGAGCACAGTGCTCATCCAGTTCCAACCCCCTGCTGTGTGCAGGTTGCCAACCAGCAGCCCAGGCTGCCCAGAGCCACATCCAGCCTGGCCTTGAATGCCTGCAGCGATGGGGCATCCACAGCCTCCTTGGGCAACCTGTTCCAGTGCCTCACCACCCTCTGGGTGAAAAACTCACCTAATACCCAACCTAAACCTCCCCCGTCTCAGTTTAAAACCATTCCCACCTGTCCTATCACTATCCACCCTCATAAACAGCCGTTCCCACTCCTGTTTATACACTCTCTTCAAGTATTAAGACACATATGACATCTTTCCTGAAGCTAATGAGAAGAGATGGCCTCTGTCAGTACACTGGAGGTTTCCTAGGATCTGATGTTGCAAAACAAAGACGAAAGCTGGGGAAAGCATGTTCAGCTTAGGGACCATTTCTGTAACTGTGGGCAGCATCAAGTGCAGTGAGATTCCAACTGGTGCTGCAGCCCATCCCTGCATGTAACACAGCCACACGGCACGAAGCGAGAACTCCATCTCTTGAAGAACCAGAGCCGGGAAGGGCAGGGAAAGGAACGAGCAAACCCACACAGAACAGAGCATGCAGCACCGCGCCGCAGATGTCTGGCAGAGGAGCTGCACCACGTTCCTACCACAGACCTTCCAGGCGCTCCACGAACAGCCGCTTGAGGCTCTGGTAGATGCCGATCTTGATGGTGCCGTAGGACGCCTGTCTCAGCAGCGCAGGGGCGATCCTGAGCGAGGGAGGAAACGGCGGCAGCTGAAGCTCCCAGCAGGGCGGCACCCCGGGGCGCAGCGCCGGCCGCCGAGAGGCGCCTCGTGCCGCGACCATCCCGCAGCGACGCCGACACACCGCCCTCACACCGCCGCCGGCCCCGCGCAGCCCCTCAGCCCCCCCGGCTGCGTCCTTACCCCGAATAGAGGGCGCGGCCGCCCTCCTCGCGGCAGATGCGGAACAGGGCGTGGAACATGCCGCGGTAACGCACCTCGCGGAACCGCGCATCGGCGCTCTGGCCCTGCACCTGCAGGCGCGTCTTGGTCAGGTCCACGGGGAACGTGCCTGCGGGGAAAGCGGCCGTCAGCGCCCCGCCGGCCCCGCGCCGATGCCCGCCGCCCGCCCGCCACACCTCACCGAACTCGGCCACGATGGAGGCGAGCCCGCCGTACACGAAGGGTTTCCAGTTCAGCGCGGACATGGCATGGCGGAGCGCGCCGCCGCGCCGGGCCGGACACTGCCTCGCCTCGCCCCGCCCCGGAACCAGAAGCGCCCGGAACCGGAAGCGCACCGCGACGCACGGCAGGCGGATGGCGCCCCCTGGCGGCGAGGCGCCAGCAGCTCGCTCCCGGAGCTCTGGTTCCATCAGCGCCGCCCGCCGAGAACGGAAGGCGAGGAGACGGGCGAGGGCTGCAGCTACGAGACGGACTGAAATCACCCCGAAACCCACTGGGTAGACGGCGGAGAAAGCTACTCAGCGAAGCAAGGGCTCCGGTAGCAACCAGATGAGGCTCAAAGTCATCGCTGCGTTCTCTCTGTTTCTCCATTGCCGTCGATGTTCAGTCCAAACAGAAAAAGTTCACCTTTCCCTGCTACCCAGACACAGAAGTGGTGCTCCCAGTGTTGTCTCTTCTGGTTAGTGGATCAATTTTATTAAAAGGAGTTTATAACAAAAAACATGAACAGCGATGGCTCAGCAGCACAGCCTTGGAGATCTCATAAACAAGGTCAGTGGGACAGGCTGGGGGCACAAAGCACTTATGCCCGCCTGCAGGCTCCCACCGGCCCCGCTGCAGACAGGGGTGCTCCCACTGAACGTGAGCAGTTTGGGGTCCATAGCATCCTGCTGCTCAGCACCCCTACTGCGCCGTGAGCCCCTCCACAACTGTCTGTGAGATGCCACTGCACAGAAGGGCTGAGCGAGGCAGCGACAGAGCTCACATCCCAGTCCACAGCACAAAGAAAGCCCTGTCTGAGGAGCAAACGAGTCAAAGCTGTGTGTGAGATGACGCACCACCAGCTGTGGTACCCTCAAGGACACACCAGGAAGCTGCAGACAGCTCCTGGTGCAGCTCACAGAGCGCAGCTGTCTCTTGGTGGGCACAGCTGTGGCCCAGAGGGTGCTCGCACCAGGGCTCAGCGATGGCTGGAATCCCTGGTGGAACCACGCTCCCTGTGCTTGGAATGGGGCTCTCTGGTGCTGCTCTCCCACCGGTGCCTGGATCTGCTTCCTTCAGGACACTCTTCTCGCCGGCTGCCATGCCCCTCACCCTTCCTGCTAACCTCTCCTCTCTCTTCCCGTGAACCGTTCTGCCCTCTGTGTTCCTGAGAGCTCTTTTCCCCTCTCCTCCCCAGAGACCTCTGGTGCCTCTGCTCTTCCTCATCTCGCTGTGTCCTGCTCGCATGTTTCCTCTCAGACTCACTGCAGGACTGCTGACTCCCACCAGCATATCGGTCATAGCCAGGATCTTCCTTCTCCTTTTTAATCTTGATTCTCGGATGTGCCTCTTCAGCAGACGCTGCTCTCTTTGCAGCCTGAGAGCTCTGCTTTTGCCGATCATGTTTACTCTTCTCTTTATCTGAAACAAAAGGTTCGTCTTTAGAGATGGACAGTCCTGCAAGCATCATCTCCACAAGTTCTGTTACAGAGCACCAGTTTTGTTTTTTTGGGGGATTTATTTTGAACCTTTCTTTTCCCTGTCCTCCACTGTCCATCCACCTCTCCCCCTTTGCAACATCCCTTCTTACTAGGATCTTCAGAGGGCGGGGGTCAATGATCACAGATAAGGGTAAATACTGGCAGTGTGACACAGACCACAGAGTACAGCCTGGACATTAGGGTTGCATCTCTTTTCAAGAGGATAGCTATCCCTGCTGTATGCTGAGCTAAGAGTCCCTGAGACCCACACAGATCCTCCCAGCCAGGGTAAAGACTGGCAGAAATGCATTTCACCTTTTTGCTTTTGGACTGGCGTGTCCTCATCCTCCAACGAGGAATCTGACGACGTATGAGGTGGCGTTTTCACTCCGCAGCCCTTTGCATGGAGGGCTTTTGTGACATCATCCAAATCATCCGAATCCTTGGGAGGCCGATAGTTGGCCACGTGGTCCACACGGATCGTCCTTCCTTTGATCTAGGACAGGAGGCAGCAAAGCATGTGCTGTGGGCCAGTGGCTGATGGAGCTCCTCCCTGACGTGATGCAGTGCTCCAGGAGCTGCTGCAGCCCCAGCACTCACCTTGATCCCATTGAAGTTATCAACAGCAAGAACGGTGCTCCTCTGGTCCTCATAGCACAGAAAGCAAAACCCTTTAGACTTCCCGGTCTTCTTATCCCGCACCAGATTAATGTTCACCACCTCCCCGTACCTGAAACACACCATCAGCAGCCACAGAGCAGGGCTATAGGGGCACAGCAAGAGGAGGGGGTGGGCACTTACTGCGAGAACACACAGATGACGTCCCCCTCTGTTAGTTGGTAGGGCAGCCCGCCTGCAGGGAGGGGAGGGGGCAGCGATGTGAGGCGCCGGGCTCAGCACGGAGCCCCAGAACAGGGCTCATCACGGAGCCCAGCACAGGGCTCAGCACAGCCTCCCGCCGCTCTCCTCACGCCCTCCACACCGCCCCCCCCACGCGGCCTACACGTACCGATGAAGACCCAGGCGCTGTCCTTGTACTCGGCGTGCCACGACACCGCTTCACTCACGCCCAGCTCCGCCTCCCGCGCGTTCAGCTCGTTGATCAGCTTCACTTTGGTCAGCGGGCTGAGGGCGATGGGCACCGTTAGCACCGGCCGGGCGCGAACCCCCCGCCCGCCCCCCACCAAACCTACTTCATGATGGCGGCGGCGGCGCGCACTGCGCATGCGCCCCGCTCCGGCCGCGCATGCGCGCCGAGCAAAGCAACGAGTCCGAGCGCAGGGCTCCGCAGAGACTTTATTGAAGGCGCTCAGCACGGACACGCGCTTTTACCGTGGGCGTCGCGCGACTGCTCCAGCTTCTGCGCCCGGCCCGGCCGCTTCTCCACATCGCGATAGAGCAGCGATTTCTGCGCCTTCAGCCGACAGGCCAGGCACATGAAGATGGACTCCACGTTCTGGCTCTCCTTAGGGTCCTTGGCTGAGGTTTCGAACAACAGCATGTTGTGAGCATCAGCGAATTTGAGGGCCATGCTGGACGGCACTTGGATCAGGTCCTTCAAGTCACACTTGTTCCCTACCAGCACTTTGGGGACGAGTGGGGACACGGCGTGCCCGTTGCACTCCTCGATCCACATCTTGAGGTTGGTGAATGATGTCATCTTGGTGACGTCGTACACGAAGACCACGGCGTGCACGTTGCGGTAGTAATGCTCCACCATGCTCTTCCGGAACCGCTCCTGCCCGGCCGTGTCCCACACCTGCACCTAGAAGCACAACACGGGGCTCTTGAGGCTGCCGGAGCGCCGGGTGCCCAGCGAGCAGGCATTGCTGCAGCAGGAAGGTGTGCTGCAGCTGCTCCGACAACCGGTGGGCAGCACGCTTTCATCCCTGTGCTCTGAGGGAGAAAAGTCCCAGCCCGATGACTTACCTTCCCCAGGAACGCGTTGCTGGGCTGATGCACTCAGCCAGCATCCCTGCCACCAAGTGCACAAAGCACTGCTCCTTTCAGAAATGTCACAATAGATTAAACACGTCGGCCCACCTGATGCTATGCTGTATAAGAGAACCCTGAAAATGGTGCAGTGTGTATGCATGAAGGAGGCAGGGCAAAGAGCAGCATTCCTGCGAGGAGCTCTGCCTGGGGGAGGAAGCAGCTGAGAAATAAGGGTTGGGATTAAAGAGCAGAGAGCCCTGGAGACAGGGCAGTGGGCAGTTCCAGCCTGACCAGGAACAAGAACTGGATGAGGCCCTCTGCAGATGGGCAGAGTCTTACGTTCACAGGTCCTTCTGGAGGCCTCCAACCATTCCTGTGTATGCTGGAGGGGCAACACAGCAGAGCACAAAGTGTGAGATTCCTGGAGAGCATTGGTGGCAACTTCATGACCCAAGTGATAAAAGAGGGGAAGGAGCTCTGCTGAGCAAGCTTCAGCAGGGCAGCTGTCAAGGTCAAAGGCATCTCATCAATTATTTTGATTGCCCAGGGAGGTTGTGGAGTCTCCTTCTCTGGAGATATTCAAGACCCACCTGGACATCTATTTGGGAACCTGCTTTGAAGGGGGGTTGGACACAACGATCTCTGGAGGTCCCTTCCAACCCCTATGATTCCATGATTCTGCAATCAATGTGATTCTGTGATTAACCATGAGGTGGTGGAGTTCAGGATCCTGACCTGAGCAGAAGGAGCAGAGCAAAATGCAAGACAACAGTGAGAGCAGATTTGGGCCTTTTTAAAGATCTGCTTGAAAGAGTCTTGTGAATTAAGGCCCTATAGGGACCTTAATTCCCTATTCCTTAAAAAAAGGGACCAAAGAAAGCTAGCTAATAGTGATGTACGTCCACCTCTGAGCTCAAGAGCTGTCCATCTGAATGATAGGAAGTCAGGCAAAAATGCCAGGAGGTACAAGGAGAAGTACAGGGAAGGTGGAAAGTGAGACAAGTGACCTGAGAGGAATACAGACACCATGTGAACCCACAGAGAGGTGGTTTAGAAAACAAAAACACAACTGGCACTGAATGTGGCAAAAGATGTTAAAGGCACCAGGAATGGCTTTTCCAGGTATTTAGGTGACAAAAAGAAGGCTAGGGACACTTGAATGTTACTTTTGATACCTGTCTGCCTTGAGATCCTCATAGAAAAACTGATGAAGCCGGATGAGCAATAAATTGCATTAGAAACTGGCTGGATGGTCAAAACCAGAGGGTGGTGATCGGTGGTGCAAAGTCCATTTAGGGGTCAGTTACAGGGGTCATTACTGTGCCTGCTCCTGTTCAGCATCTTCACTGACAATCTGGATGATGGAGCAGTGCATCCTCAGCCAGGAGGTGGTGAGGTGGGGGGCTGTGCTGCCATCCAGAGGGACTTGGGCAGGCTGGAGAAACAGGCTGACAGAAGCCTGCTGAAGTTGGACAACCCCAGGACACTGAGCAGACACACAGCTGGGAATAAGAGGAGCTCGGGGTCTTGGTGGGCACTGAGTTGAACATGAGCCAGCATCGTGTCCATACGACAAAGCTGGCTAGTGATATCCTGAGCTGCATTAAGCAAAGTATTGCCAGTAGGTCAAGGGAGGAGATCCTTCCCCTCTCGTGGGCATTGGTGAGATTACGCCTGGACCCAGCACTCCAGGTCTAGGCTGCCCAGTACAAGTGAGAAATGGAGATTAAAACGGCCTTGAAATGATGAAGGGACTGGAGCAGCCCTTGCATGACAGGCTGAGAGCCGGGACTCTTCAGCATGGAGAAGAGAGCTTATGTCATAAATGGTGTAAATACCTGCACAGAGGGTGCAAAGAAGCCAGGCTCCTTTCAGTGGTCCCCAGTGATGACAGAAGAGACGTGGACACAAACCAAAACAGCTGGAGTTCTTTCTGAACATCAGGAAGTGCTTATTTGCTGTGTGGGTGACAGAGCAGTGGCACAGGCTGCCCACAGGAGCTGCAGAATCCTCCTCCTTGGAGATGTTCAACAGCTGCCTGGATGCGGTCCTGGGCAACCTGCTGTGCGTG